CTAACTAATGCCCTCGCTGAATGATTCATGCAGGGAACTGGTGAACAAACAGAATGAGAGTGAAAACATGCAGGACTCCGACAATCTCTCGATGCTGACTTCCATGACTACAGGAAACACAGGCAGCGTGTTTCCATTCTCCAAACAAAATAATCCTTTTGAAGTGACCAGCTCAAGGCCAGAATTTGGCCTTGTTTCATCAGATTCACTGATGAGCTCTCCACATAGTTCTTTGGAGAATGTGAATCTGCTCAGCTCACAAAGTCTGAATGAACACCAGAGTTCAGCCTCCCTGCAGCACTTTGTGGACTGGCCCAGGACACCTGCCCAGGGAGGTCTTTCATGGCCCGAGGCAGAAGACATGCAAGCTCAGAGGTCACAGTTCTCAATATCTGCTCCAATGGCATCCTCTGAGCTGTCATCGGCCTCCACATCTCCGATCCATGAGAAGCTGATGCTATCACCTCTTAGGCTGAGCCGCGACTATAGTCCAACTGGTCTCAGCATTGCAGCGAACAGAGATGAGGTTAGCCATTTAGAAGCAACCTGGGCGACGATGTTCCGCGATTCTTCGTTGGGCGGTCCGTTGGGGGAGGTTTTGACCAAGAACGGCAACGTGGAAGCAAAAAATTGCCTGTCGGCACCTCTGAACCTTCTAACCGACTACTGGGATTCAAGCCACGGGATGGAGTCATCCCCTGTGGGAGTTCTGCAGAAGACGGCCTTCGGATCAGTCTCCAGCAGCACAGGGAGCAGCCCTAGGATTGAGAGCCACGGCGCTTACGATGGTATCAGCAACCTGCGGGATGATCTCGGCTCAATTGTAGTAAGCCATCCGAGCATCCGCCTTGTGTGAGCTTCTGAGTTCTGACCATGAAAAACTGTCTGCCTTGTGTGAGCTTCTGAGTTCTGACCATGAAAAACTGCAACAAGGCGGCAGCCATAGAAGGGGGACATATATGGCTATGGTAATCCTCAAAGCGTGAGGGAGCATTTACCTCGTAGTTTGTCATTTGAGACTGATCTCCTGTTTTTTGTCACTTCAGTTCTTCTTTCTTTTGTTTCCTTTTAACTTGGCTTTGTAACTGTCACCTTCCATGAATCGTGAAAAGCGCTGTGATGTGTGGTGTGGATGGATTTTGGTGCGCCATTGATGCATAATCATCTGATAAAAGCCAGTATCCGATCATAGTTTGTCTGTCGAGGATTAATGCGAGTATCGCCTGTTGTTCATACTACTGCTACATACACTACAATACTGTTTGTGTGCTCATTGTTGTATGGTTCGGTTATATTAACCAACAGGCCGTGAAATCTTTACTAAATGCTGTTTCCAGACTGCCAATAATTGAGCATTCGCCATCGTTGGCCCAGGTTCTAGGCCCGTGTTTAGTAAGGCCGAATTTCGGAAATTGGCCTACTGTAGCACTTTCGTTTTTATTTAGTAATTAGTGTTCAATCATGGATCAATTAGGCTCAAAACGTTCGTCTCGCGATTTCCAACCAAACTATGCAATTAGTTTTTTTTCGTCTACATTTAATGCTCTATATACGTATCGCAAGATTCGATGTGATGGCTATTGTAACACTTTTTGGGAATTTGGGTTGGGAAGTAAACACGCCCAGGGCCTTGTTTAGTTCGGCCGGAATCGGTATTTGCACAGTGTTTGATGTGACGGCAAACACTGTAGCAATTTCGTTTGTATTTTTGAATTATTGTCCAAACATTGACTAATTAGGTTCAAAAGATTCGTCTCGTAAAGTTCAACCAAACTGTGTAATTAGTTTTTGATTTCATCTACATTTAGTACTCCATACATGTACCACAAGTTTGATGTGACGGAGAATCTTATTTTTACATAGTGCTAAAGTTAAGAGTTTGGGGAACTAAACACCGCAAAGCTGGGCTAGAATCTGTGCTCTGCATCTGTAGAAAGCATCTTCAGAAACATTGCATTCACATTGAGATTGAGAAAATGAGAAGAAAGCTGAAAATACTTCACGCTGTAGTAGGAACTTGTACTGAGTTTTAGCAACTACAGTAGCTCCAACCAAAATGTACATCTGATACTGTTGCAACAAGAAACTTCTCTGTGCACATGAAAGGAAAAGGGTACATGCTACCACAATGGCTGTACGTACCCTGCTCCAAGTATCATTGATCGTTTTTCTACTCCCGGGCGCAGTATTCCAGCGCTCATCACGACGGCAACAGCCGCGGCAGGAATACAATGATACGTTCCCAGGAGGCGGCTGGCGGCACCAGCCTTTTTCCCACCCCTTTGGCCGCAGCTGCCACTGCCACCGGCCTGCAAAAGAGCCAATCCCTATTCGCTCGCCCAGCCTGCACTGCAGCGAGGGCGCGTTGTTCATTGCATCCATGCCATGCCTGCCCAGCCCTGATGGCTGTGAATGGCTGATGCCGCCGCCTCCATCCGGCATCCATGACGGGCGACCAGCCGGACAGCCGGTAAGCACCGCTGCGTGCCGTCGCCCTTTTGATGATTCGGTGTACAGTACAGGGGACCCTGCTGGCTGGCTTGCTGTAGACTCACTGTAGAGCGAGTGATGTGCGCTAGCGTGATGAGGCCTGAAGGCTGAGGCGCTGGTGGTGCTGCCGCCTGCTTTTTGGTCATCGGCACCGGAAATGCGTGTAGCACCAGTGGGGTTTGCGATTGGGACGAGATGTTCGTCCTCCGAGATCGGAGTGGAGGTTGACAGAGATTTTTTCTCGAATACGCAAAAACTCTACGTGTTATTGTATTAAGTAGAAGAGTTTAGACAAACATATAACGCGCTTGTATCGAGCGTCGAAGAAGGTCAACCTAACACAGTCGTAGTTGGACCATCATAGGAAGAGACCTCTAGATTCGATATTACATTAAAGGAAACGATCAATACCAACATAACGGTGCGACCTAGGAGATGGCCTTGCGTCTTCGCGGCTGCCTGGACCGAACAATCGGGAAGAGCTCGTTCAGCGCTTCGACTGTGGACACAGACAGGTCGCCGTCGAAGAGCTTGTCATAGGCCTCCAGCTCTGACGCGGATGGCGCTGATGGCCCCTTGGTGAAGCCCATACGCTGCATGATCAGCACCTCACCTCGCTTGGAAGCAGGTACTCGAGAGAGGGGCTGAGCTGCCAACCGCCTGCTCCGCCACGGCACCACTAGCTTAGCAGGAGGCTGCTTTGGAGGCTCACGAATCAGTGGAGAGTCCCTCTTACGCGTCACCTTGTTGATGAAGCTATTGAGGCCGCGGAGTTGTCGTTGTCCTCGGTCGGGTGGGTATCCACCAGCGGTGAGTCCACTGCCCAGTGAATGGGGCGTGGAGGTGGTGTCCGCAACGCACAGGAGACCACTGCCGCCGGGTCCTCATCCTCCAGCTGGGTGGCCGTCACTGTCGGGGCCTCATCTCGTAGCTGGGGGCACCGGAGGTGACAACAGGTGCTCAAGAGAAGGCCATGCGACGATCCGACTGCTGACGAGCGAGGCTGCGAACTTCTCCAACATCGGGTCCTTAGTGATGTTGCGACCATGCGTAGCGTTCGGGTACGGTGTCAGCGTCAATGGGTCATGCTGGACCCTAAACCCTAGACCCTATGGCATGCTCGTCGTTCCTGTTCCGTGGTTGCAGTTTTTCCACTGTTCGTTTGTTCATGGGCCGGTTCGGGGGAAACTGTGCTGAGTGATTGCTGCTTGGGTTTCGTTTGCTTGGTGGCATGGAGAGGGAAGTTTTGGATGCGTCGTCCAAGCGCTGGTGACTGCCTGCCTGCAATGATAAGGTTGTGCGTAGAAAAATACGTACTCCCTCCGGTTCTCTAAAACAAGTCGTTTTGGACATCGATATAGTCTTTAAGAAACGACTTTGACCGCTACTTTTTTTATAAAATATTTATAAAATATAGTCAATATATATTTTTATGAAACTACATTTCGAGATGAATCTACTTATATCACTTTCATATTTTCAAACTCAACCCAAAAGAAGTTATTTGTAGTCAAAGTTTAAAATGTTTGACTTAAGACAACTTCAAAACGACTTGCTTTAGAGAATCGGAGGGAGTACTAGCTATACGGATATACGGAGTACTTAGTGGGAGATTAAAAAATGGCTCTCGTGCACTGCTGCTGTTGTACTGGTGATAAAGCTCTCCAGGCTTCTTTTGCTACAGCCAACAGGGTACCGGAGCTCTTTTCGTAGTCGATAGACTCGTTCGCGTGAATAATGGACTCTGCCGCACCATCAGGTACGTACACTTCACCGACACCAACACTGCTTCGACTTGTTTTTGGCTGCAGGACGGCTGCACAAGCTTTTGCACAGTAGACGCGAAAGAAATTTGCAGCGAACGAGCACTCAGACTCCTGGGTTACATATGGAACGCATCACAAAACTGCATTAGGTTATATTTGAAACGTAGGAATTTTATAGGAATCAGTTCAATTCCAAATGAAAAACGTAGGAATAATTTTTTTTTCCCCGCGATCCAAACAGGCCCTTCCATTGCGAGTCCGCCCACGCGAGCACACTCGGTTTGTCCGGGAGGTACGGTCTCCTGTGACCGTGAGCGCGCAGTCGCGTTGGAGTCCATCCAACCGGCGTCCGGCGTCCCGGCACTCAACTCATGCCAACAATGACAGCTCCTGAGCCCTGACTGCTGTGCTGAGCACGGCGTTATCGAAGGCCCGTGCGCTCGCTCGCTCGCTGCGTGCCGTGGCACGACAAGCGTACGTCAGTTTTTCCCGGGCAGGGGGCGGGCACCGCACGTACGCAACGCAAGGCCACAGGCGGAACAGTGGTACGAGCACCCGCGCCGCGAACCGTGCTGCGCGAGGCCCCAAAGGAACACCAACGATCCCCGCACGCCTTCTTGCTCACATGCCAAGGTAGAAATAGAATGTCTCACGATCACCGTCACCGTCGATCGATCACGAGCTCAAAATAAGGAGCAGTTCTATATAAGCACGCTGCACGCCTGAGCGAGTCAGCAAGCAGAGATGAGCCGTAGAGCCAAGCAGCAGCCGGCGGCGGCGGTGGGTAGCCGCCGGACCAGGCGTGCCGAGCTGCCGCGCCCACCGGCGGGCCTCGCCGAGAGCCCCCAGATCGTGTCCAACCCCATCTTTCGCTGCGAGGCCGGGCCAAGCCAGCCCAACAGGCCACCGGGCGACCAACTGCGCTGCGTCTACGGCCCGGGCTCGCTCTACGCGCTCGTGTACGACCCGGCCGCGGGCGCGGGGAGCGGGAGCGGGAGCCTCATCGGCAAGGCGCAGCAGCCCCTGCCGCTGCCCCCGTGCAGGGCCTACCCGTCGGGGCGCGTGGGGACCGCCGCGCATGCTGTGGGCGGCCCACATGGCAGGGTACTGAGGAGGGCGCCGCCCCATGACCCGTTCCTGGCAGCCTACGTGGCGTGCAGCAAGCGCGCCGGCGGCGGTGATGAAGTGGTGGATCGCCCGCAGCACAAGCAGAAGCAAGGGAGGAGGAAGAAGAAGAAGGCGGCGACGGGGAAGAAATGCAAGGCAGGCGTGGTGATCTTTCGGGGGTGTGGGATCTGGAGCGGGTGGGCGGCGGGCGCCAAGTACGCCGGGGCGATGTCGTGCAGGTACGGCTGCGCCGTCGCCGGGCAGAAGGGAGACGCTCCTGCGACCAAGACCAAGTCTGAGGACGACGCGCCGGCGGGGCCAACGCTCGACCTGTCGTGGACGCCGGCGGTGCTCTCCGCGCGGGCGCTGGAGCGGAGGGAGCAGCGCTGAGTGTGTTTTATGTCATCGTGTAATGGTACGTGTCAGTGCATCAGTAGTACCTAGTACGCGGTGCGATGGTGTCAATATCAAGCCACTAAACTACTCCTTTTCTTTGTATTTATGCAGTGTTATTTGTATTACATGCAGTGCAATTATGCAGTGATACGTATAGGTAATATAAAACATGGAATGAAAAATATGAAAGTACCTGCGCGGTTTCACTCACAGGTGGGCTACGCCGTTATAGAAAATCTTGTGTTTCACTTTCACCGATGTTAATTTTTCCGGCACTACTGCGCCTGGACATTTGGACGGAACGCTCATGTCTGGATGCTCGCGCCTGCAGTCGGTTTTCTCTCTGTTTCGCGTGTCCACGTGTGGGTCCGCATCGTCCGTACTTTGCCTGACCGCGCCTACGCCACCCGCGCCGACGGGGGCCCCATGCCACCCGAACGTCGCCACGCGGGGCTGTTCATGCCCCTCCCGCTTTCCACGCACATCCCATGTACAATACCCGATCTACTTTAAAAACATTTAGATGCAAAACTTGTAACATAAAAAAAGTCAGATGAAACAGTTGAAACATGCATATGAAACATTTACAAAAACAATTCAAAACCATTACAAACATACACAAACATCCAGATAAACACTTGCAACAAACGTGTGAAACATATTCAACATCCAGATAACACACTAGCAATATACGTCTAAAAAAAAGATAAAACATTGGGATATACGCTTGCAACGTACGTGTACAACTATCGCAACATATGTAATATCTCAATCTACTTTTGCAACATCCGTGTGAACACAATCGAAACATATCACTAAAGTATCTGAAACATTTCAAATGTACATGTGCAACATGCATCATATCCTGGTGCGGACTCCTCCGCCGTCTCTATCTGGGCGTCGCTGCCTTAGTAGGAGGCAAGGCCGGAGGGCTTACGCGCCAAGACCCAGTGCTTCTCCTTGCGCCCGACGGCGTCGTTGGGGGGGGGGGGCAGCGGAGCAGGAGCAATGACACGAGCAACAGGGCGGGCGCACGGCGACAAAGAGCAGCGGGGCGAGCGGGCAGAGCGTCGGCAGGAACAACGGCAGGAGGAGCGGGGCAGGCTCACAGAGCATCGCCAAAAACAACGATAGGAGGAGCAGGGCGGACGCGCAGAGCATCGGCAGGAGGAGCAGGGCGAGCGTAAGAGTGGAACATGGACTGGTGACGATGAATTGTCTGGATATTAATAAACAAAGGTTATGTCAGATAACCTAGACCCCGTGTCCGTCTAATACTGGAGTAAAGGTCGGACGCTCAGGATTAAAGAATTTCCGTAATTAAAAAAAAAACAAAAACTTTCACCGATGTTATGGCCAATAATAATGCTACACAGTATATTGACAACTGGGTGTAGCTACAACCATACCCGATCAGTTCAAACTTAGCAATGATCAACTGAACTCGCTAGCAAAAGGCTGTCTCTGGTGGACTGGAAAATCTTTTCCGCCGCAAAATAGGTGGCTCTCATCTCCTCAGCAACTGGACCGATCGGGCCGGGCTGCGTACGGCCCAAAATGCAAAACTCCCTCTCTGCTACACCGACCGATATCCTGAGACAGACTAGTAGACCACCGCCGCCTCCACCCCCGGCCTCCACTGCGGGACCAGCACGAGAGCCTCGCCGGCGTTAGCTCGGCCCACGGCCGTCGCCGTGCGATAATAGGCCGGGAGACGGGGAGATGCTGTCGTCCGCCGTCTTCTCCTCCTCCTCCTCGGCGCTGCTGCGCGGAGCCCCGCCGCGGACCCGGAGGTTGCTCCTGGGCGCCCCCGCGCGCGCGCACAGCGGCGCGGCGAGCCGCGCTCGCGGTGGGTTTCCGAGGTTCCACGCCCCGTCTCTCCCTTCGTCGAAGGTAAGCGCGTTTCTTAGCCCCGCGCGAGCCGTCGGCCGCGTAGTTCGTCGAGCGCCCTGTGCTAGTATGCTCGTTCCTATTGAGCGCGTGGTGGTTTTCGTTTCAAGTATCCTTCTAGATTGTGTGTTTTATACAGAAATATCACCCACCTGGATGTGGATGTGTGTTGCATGAAACGTCGTATACTTTCCCTTGCCTCGTTGTCATGGCATTTTGTTGAGCTGTTGTGCCTCTGACTGTCTGACTGGGATGGTTATTACCTTGCAGGGTGAGGTGATTCGCATCCAAGGAGACGAGTTCTGGCACATGACACGGGTTTTGCGCCTTGGCATTAACGACAGGTTTGTACCACTGATTTCCTTCTTTCTTAGACCACGTGATTTCGTCATGAGAATGTAATTAGCTCTTAAATCAATGGGTGCACTGGTTGCTATTGAGTTCAAGTGTGATTCTCTAAGCTTTAGTTTTTTTTATTGGATTCTCTGTGTATACAGTTAGTCTTGAAAGTACAATGGCTTGCAAATTAGTTGCTGTGGCTGCTTAAGCAGGCAGCCTTGGTAAATTTTGTGGTGTACTCCAAGACGTTTGATATGTGAAGCCTATAAGTTTTCAGATTTAACTTGTAACTTGTAAGGCATTTTCAACATCCATAGAATGACTTAATGACCATCCAAGAAATGCTTTAACTGGTAAGATCATGGATATTAGATAAATATAATGGTACATTTCCTGGGAGACCTTAGGCCTCGTTTAGATTGCCTCAAAATTCCAAGTTTTTTCACTCTCTCTCCATCACATCAATTTTTGGACGCATGCATGGAGCATTAAATGTAGGTAAAAAAATAACTAATTACACAGTTTGGTTGTAAATCACGAGACGAATCTTTTGAGTCTAGTTAGTCCATGATCGGACAAAGTTTGTCAAATACAAACGAAACGTGCTACAGTGTCCAGATTGCAAAAATTTGCAATCTAAACAAGGCCTTACTGTCCATATAGAGAAAACTGTTCTTGTAGTTTTGTTGAGATGTCATTTTCAACCTATGTTTTATGTTTCTTGAGCTTATCAGTTACATCATGTAATTTCTGTCACCAACTTTCATAGGGTTGAACTATTTGATGGGGCAGGTGGTTTAGTTGAAGGATTCATACATAAAGTTGACAAAAGTGGCTCAGATGTTGAGTTATTAGAGGATGCTAGGATCATAGCTCCTCAAGGCATCCAATGGCATGTCTTTGCTGCATTTGGTGAGTCTTGTGAAATGTACTATGTAAACCATGATAGTTTTTTTTTATTCCATCCTGTAATCACTTTATTATTCTAATCCTCAGGGACACTGAAAGGCGGACGTGCTGATTGGCTTATAGAGAAATGTACTGTATGTTACAATTTGGGTGTTCTTCATCTTCATTGTCTACTTCTAAGTCTGTTTTCTTTTCTTATTTAGGAACTAGGAGCTTCTAGTGTTACTCCTCTCCTGACAGAAAGATGTCACACAATTGCGGAAAATCGGGTGGACAGGCTGCAACGTCTTGTGCTGGCTGCAGTTAAACAATGTATAGAGTTTGGGTTTAACCTCCGTTCTTGGCATGTTGATTAATTAGTTTATGCTCAATTTGAATATGTTATTAGCATGTTCTCCATATGCAATCGTGAGTGACTAAGATTTTGTAAAGACTAAATTGCTCCTGCCTTCTTAGTGACTGAAAACATACTAATCTCATTACTCTTATATCTTTTGTAGGCCAGAGGATACATGAAATGTCGCTGAAGCCCCCAATTCAGATAAGTCACCTTCTACCTGTTGTAAGTACCTCCTATGCTTTTGTTATCCATGCACCATGCATGACATATTGTGAGCAATCTCTAATTAATGCACTCACTACTGAGAGTTCCTTGGCTACTGTGGTCAAGTAACATTCATTTTTTAGAGCAACCATGATGTTCTGCAAACTATGGTTCGTTGTTAAGAAAACAGTTAAGATAATAATATTTCTGTTTAAATTAACATTTATTATTAGTTGGATGTGAAAGTAACATAATATCATGGTTTGTGTGATTTTTTTGGGTAACCATAGATGGAAATTGGTTATGTCTACACCTTCTTTCAGAATAATTATAACGACAGTTACATCTATGATTTCTCGACAGTCCGTGTATTGACCTTTATCTGCTGCTGGCCTTTTCTGCCATCAGGTATCACAGTCAAAGCTTGCTTTCCTAGCATCAGCAGAAGCGCCTCCTCTTTTAAGTGTTCTGCCAAAATCCAGCACTGAACAAAGTGGGCTTCTGATTATTGGACCTGAAGGAGGTATGCAAATCCGTTCATATTTAACTATTCGAATGTCTTAGAAATCTAATTATTTAAATAAGACTATAATAGTGATACTGGTCAATATAAACTCGATTTTTCCCAAGCGCTTCTTATTACTCCCTCCGTTTCAAATTATAAGACGTTTTAGCTTTTCTAGATACATTGCTTGTACTATGTATCTAGACAGTGCATATCTAAGTGTATAGAAAATGTTATGTATCTAGAAAAGCCAAAATGTCTTATAATTTGGAATGGAGGGAGTACTTGCTTATTTATCATATGAATTTCGTTTTTGTTCGTTACCTGCATGGTTGCACTGAGAGGTTAACAAATGCTATAAATAATGCAAAGCAAATGTCAAAATTTTAAAACAAAACAGTAATCAAGTAGTGATTTACAATGTAGGTTCAGACAATCAGACATGAGAAGGTAGCAGAGTGTTAAACACATATGGGGTTACATTAAATTTCACCCATGATAAACTTTATAGTACCACTGACCAAGAGTACTTTTAACTTCCAAACAAAGAATCTTATCTCCAAAAAAATTTCAGATATGATGCCATATTGTTATGTTAGTGGATCTAATATGACCGTCCATATTTCAGACTTCACAGAAGAGGAGGTACATTCACTGAAATCAGTAGGTGCAGCCCCTGTCGGTCTTGGTCCATGCAGGCTACGAGTTGAGACAGCCACAATATCCCTCCTATCTGCTCTCATGCTATGGTCAGATGCTAAACACCAGTAAAGACAGCAATGCAGGTAATCAAAGGACAGTCGTTGTAGTATTACTAGTGTCCTCTTTCAGGTGACTATTACTGCAAAATACCATTCAGGATCTAGTTGGACTCAGTAATCGCGATCATGGGTAATTATTCCATTGGATCTCAGTACGCATTTCGCAAACAGCTTGGTCTTGGGCTTGATCAGCATGGAGGATGAACATCTCAGCACGTAATGTTTTGATTGAGTGACGTTGTCCTAGTGTGTTGGTTGAATTGTATTTTTTTGTATCAACAGACTACAACTTCTCTCACCTTCACTTTTGATGTAAAACAGTAAAAGCACACCATACAGCAGCCATTCCCTGTGCTGTCGGTAATAGTAACACATGCTTGTGGAGATCAGATGTTCTGAAAACTCAAGATTCATTGCTAGTTGTATACAACAATCACACAATGCTGAATTTAGGTCCTATTTTCAGCCACCTTCATGTAGCATCAAGAATCAAGAACCGGTGTTGGTTTTCTTGTTAAACAAACCTCCTCTCAAATCTCAATACACGAGGAAAATGAACGAATTACCCCCCAGATAACTCCAAAATCCACTCCAATCCTCACCTGGAAGCGTTTGGTGGATCAAAATTCCAGTCATGCTGTCGTTTTTAGTGGTCTTAATATACATTTTATTGTCTGCAGTGCAATCCAACGCGTCGCACCATCGCTTCTTGGGGCGGAAGCAGCCCCAATCCAACGCGCCGCACCATGGCTCCTTGTCGCGACGACCGCACGCCGCCTCCTGATCACCCGTTGCGCGCCGAGCCGAACGTAGGCTTCACGGGACCGTGCCGTTGTCAATCTTTTTATCTGGTGGCGATGGCGCCGCTTCCCATGGCCTCTTTGCAAGTTGATGCCTCGCAGTTTCGCGCCATGCCGCGATATCTCTTGCCGCGGCGTGCATGCGCCACCAATCACTTAAGGATGCCAGCCGGCGGCATATATCGCGTCGTCTCTGTCCACGTCGTCCCGTCCATGCAATGTTGCAGCGCCGTAGCTTAACCTGTCACCTCGGTTCAGCAATCAGCATAGAGCATGCCACGGCGGCAGGGGTAAGGAACTCACGGTCACGGCGGCAATGAGCATATATGATTGATCGCCAACCACGTACCTGGATGGATGGAGAAAGAGAAACGTATACGGTATACCTGAGGCAGGGATAAGGAAGGAACTCACGGTCACGGCGGCTTCATGACGCGGATGGCAGTCAGCAGCAGCTGGTACCTTCCAGAGTTCCATCCCTTGGCAACCACTGTCGCCGTCGCGATACAGACGAGGAATAGTTATCGGTACTGCCTGCGGCGCCGTGATCTGCAAACTAAGTTTACGATCGAGCAGGAGCAGACCAGGGTACGTAGTTGGCAAAAAGACCGCGTGGAGTTTCCATCTGGCAAGGAGATGGCACTGTTGCATGCGACCGGCCCCGGAAAGGCTCCAGCGACGGTGGCGGCGTTCTGGTCCGGTGGCGCGCTTGGGCGACGTCGTGCGGTGCGGAGCCGTGACCGTGACCTGTGTGAGCACTCGAGAAGTAACGTACTCTGTAGGAGTCACGCAATGGACCAGGATTACAGGAAACACTAGCCCACGCATTGGCCGGCCCATCGTACGGACCCCGTACGTATGGGTCGACCCAGTCCACGCCCACATAACGGAAGCCATCATCGGAGCCAACCAATCGGCAACCAGCGAGCGAGCACAATCGCAGCTACTACTTGCCGTGCCCGTGCGCCGCCGCCTTCCGTTGCGACCGCGCATGTCGATGGGCGCCTCCTCGTTAGCCACCCGGCGGCCGGGCCGTTTCGATCCTCGTGATGACGCCACGGTTGCAGCAGGGACAGTGACGTACGTGGCCGCAGCTCATACGTTAGCCGCCTATCGCGTGAACTGATCGTCGATCCATCCTCCCACATGGGGGGAAGGAAACTCAACCAAAGCCACCGATCGAGTGGATGCCGAGTTTGCCGACGCACGCGGCCGTACGTACGCACGCGCGTCGCGCCGTCGCCTTTTGTTGCGGCTGCACGTCACCGGCCGGTTGCCCACCCTGACTCGCCGCCGCGTACGTGGCGTTCTTCAGGCACTGGGTCGCGGTCGGCTATGTCGGGCTCGTACGGGCGCATCTTACTGGAGTTGCACCGTACCAGGCCGACTGAAGCGGGCCATGCACCCGCTCAGATCCGCCCTTGGTTGCTGCCGTCGCACGGCACGGCGGGCACCCATGTTCCATGGACCACGGATGACGGGCCCGGCGCTTGGCTCGCGTCGTTGCTTGCGCGTGTAATCCTGTGCAGTGTGTGTGGGGGGGCAATGGCCGCGCATGCATGCATGCATTTCTATCAATGTAATGTGATCCTGGCTGGCGGCTGCAACGGCCGACGCCCATTAGGGATCGAGAGAGAACACTTGGATTGAAGCTAGCGCTGCTGCCCCGGCACGCCAGCAGCGTAACAACCGTGTACATGGCGGCTGCAACCGTCAGCGCTGCTGACAAGTGACAACACACGGAGGTATGGCGTACCGTATTGGTAGGCTAGTAGAGAGCGAGTTAGCCCTATGCACTGGCTCTTGCCCAAAATTTTAATTTACTCGCTGCCATCCAAATATGTATAGCAATTCAAGTAGCCGTAGCCGTAGTCTTGATCAGGTTTAGTAACCATGCAGGTCGTCTTGGATACTGTCTGTCATCCAAAACACGAGCAAGTGAGCCCAATCCGAGCGCTGGTAAAGCACGCATCTGTGGCCTCTACTCTCTAGAACCGTTAGGTCCGGAATAGTTCCCACGTTATACTAATTTGTGAAGAAATTGTCTGGCGGGAAATAGTTCCCATATAACGGGGTCGGTAGTGTTATCTTGATGACTCGAGTGACGGGGTTTGAAGAGCTCCAATCGGAAATGTCCGACTGGGACCCATGCTCATCATTCGTGACGGAGTCGGCATGACCTACATGGGGGCGTCCCTTTACTCCTTACCTGTCTTCTGGCGTGTTTTTCTGAGCCGTTCGATCGATTTAGGAAGCCCGATGGTTTCTCATGGCGGAGATCCCGTCGTTTGGGTTTTTCCAAGTCCCGCCTAGGGAGGCGGAGAGCTGTCTGCGCATGGTGGCGCTTTGGTTTTTGCGTCCGGCTTGCGGTAGTGGTGGGCCATACCCAGGCCACGTCCCATCTTACCAGGCGCCGTTCCATCTGACCAGGCGTCGTTCCGTCGGTCAGTGTGCGTCCCAGCGGTCAGGGTGCGTCCCATCGTTTCCCATCCGCATTGAATGGTGGAAGGGAGAGAGTTTTCGCTCTGATGTTTTGCCCCTCTTCAGCTGTCGCGTTTCCTCCTTAAATAGGGGGAGGGAGAGGGCTTCTCGTCGCAGTCCTTTGCCTGTTCTCCAACTATTGTCTCTCATCCTTCTTCCTCACCGAGAGTGCCTGTATGCCGCGGCGGTTCCTAAGTGAGAGAGAGACTAAGCGAGGGGGATGACTTACAGATCCTTTCATGAATCTAGAGCGTGATGTCGGGCTGGAGGCTTCCCGGGGCGGTGCTGGCTGTCTTTCCCTGAGAAGGGGCGGCTTCCGCCGAAGGAGGTGGCACGCCGGATTCATCTGCGAGGCCTTTTTCAGGATGTGGCCGTGTGTGGATTTTCTTCGGTGGATCTTCACCGGGCGAGCCTTGTCGGAGGGGAAGTTGCCCAGGATCGTGATGGTGGAGGGTTCCGTGCCTGCAGGTGCTCGGGTTGGCCAGTTAATAAAGTTTGATGAGATTTCTTGCAGCCATGGTGGCCATACCTCGGTGGCCGCGTCCCTGCCCAGGAGCTGCCTCGACTGCATGAGAAGGTCAGGAGCTCCATGCTCTTCTGCTGAGCATCTATGGGTGCGACACCCTTGAGGTACCCGTTGCGCTCGCCGAAGTCGAGGGAGCAGAACCGGACGGGTCCCTTATGGCGGTGGTTATGTCCGGCGGCGTGTGTCGTGTCCTCTCCTTTGGCGTCAGGCGATGTCGTCGAGCGGCCGTAGTAGTATTTGGATTAGAAGTGGTTAGAAAATGTAATAGTTGAGTTCGTGGGTGAGTCCCCATGTGAACAATTTTCTGTATCAATGAATACATCAGTTCTATTTTTGTGATAAAATTACTATCTGTTTCTTGTTTTTATCCTAGCATAGCCTTTGTTTTTGTCCTTTATTTTTCGCACCTGCCCGTTAGTTCCATAGGCTATAGCTTTTAAGAACCTGGGCATGGCCTGCGGGGGTCGGCTGCTCATAACCGTGGGTCGTGGCGGGGTGCGTTTGGTTAGAGTAAGAACAAAGTTACGTAGGGCAATCACAGGAGTGGAATGTGCTTCCGTTCGGGGACAAGGTTGTTTTACCATGTGATAGTAAAAAAGAGAGGTAATTCTTAGTATTGTACCCTCATGGAGCCCCCGAGCGACTGTCGGTGCGGGACCCACGGGATACCCCACAAGGAAGGGAGAAGATCTAGTCTAACTAGAATTCTTTCCATGTAATCTTAGTAGTAGTATTATTCTGTAATCCTGCTAGGAATTCTCATTGTAACCGACTAGGATTCTGACCTCCTGACTATATAAAGGAGGGTAAGGTTCCTAGAGGGCAGAGGATCACGACTTTTACAACTGTAACAGCACAACTCCAGACAATCAATCCAACGCAAGGGCAAACGCCGACTGGACGTAGGGCTATTACTCGATCAGCGATCGAGGGTCCAAACCAGGATAAATTGACTGTCTCTTGCGTTCACCGTCGAGTTCCGCATACGCTGAAGCCCGAACAAACTGCCTCGGGTACCCCCGTGGCAGGCTATCGGTGGTTAAACATCGACAGCTGGCGCGCCAGGTAGGGGCTTTTTGATGAATTTGCATCCGAGAGCTCGATGGACCTCGACAACATAATCTTCTCGATGGGATCAACCTTCATTTTTGGCTCATGGATCTGTGAGGCAGGCGACGATGGCAAGCTCCAAAGCCATCTCCTCGAAGATTCGGTTCACCAGGAAGACTTTTCTATTTCGGCAATGAGGACAGATCAAATCATCGGAAGATTCGCGAGGCTCGTGATGTCTGATTCAACTCAGGCTTCGAGGCTTTGCGCATCCGACTCGAACTCAGGCTCCGCATCCGAGATGGAGTCTGACCCGAGTTCTTTCGAGAATTCGAGTTCTATTCCGATGGGGCTCTAGAATGCGGCCTCGGCATATCAAGAATACAACTCGGAGAACACTCAGAGTCTTTCCAAGAAGTCGGGTCCTTTTCTGTTTGGACTCTACAACATGGCAACATCTTATCAGACACGGCCCGAAGGATTCCTCGATCCGGTGCTTAGAATGCCACTGAGGGGAGCTCAGGAAGGTCTCATACTAACTATAACATCTCAAGACTGCATCGTCCACTGCCCAGGCTCTATTCCTGAGGGTAGCAGTACCTGACTGGTCGACGCGATGACAACAACAATTCTACCCTACCAAGAAGGAGACTCGATCTGCGACCTCGAAGCCTCTACTAAAGTTATCAGCAACTCCGACAGTGCGGAAACTAACGCCGATAACAGAACAATTTACGCACGGGAAGTACTCATGGTTCGCCGTCCTCGATCACCATTGGTCCCCCTAGAAGCGCCCGATGTCAGGTCATCGGATGAATCGGAATCCAACATATCACCCTTCGTCCAGGGCTACGATGGTGAAACCGAGACTCAGAAGCAAGCCAGAGAAAGAAAAAAAAAGTCGAAACAAGGACGCCAAAACCGTGC